CATGGGTTCCGGGATTTTGAAGGAACAAATGGCATATGAACCAATTGTTGGTTACTGGCTACCATGAGACTGCATCTCCGAACATTGCTCTACTGCCTTGTGGATCACACCTTTAGGTCAAAGGCTCCGAGTGTGGCCCCTTAAGGAAATCACCTGCTTTGGTTTGAGCAACCGGGCAGTATCATAGGCCACACACAAATCAAGTGACTTGTGTGGGGCATATGTATCCGGTGCCTTTATCTACCAATATTTCTGTGTTCAAATAAATAATAATAAATTACTTTTATGATACTCTATGTTGATTCTTATCGTTTCTTGATATCTAATCAGCTGATTGATTAACTGTTTTCGTATAGATTGATAAATTATATGTAAATCTTTGCTTTCATTGACTACAGTTTATCATGAGTTGTCTGATTTGAGAAACATCTTCCAGTTGAATTCGTGTTCGTACTTCCACGTGTATATATTATTCATGACAGCGATTTCAAACGGTTTCATTCTACTATTACTCTATATATATGAGTACATGTATCGGTAGACTAATATGGTTAGACATTTTCAACTTGGTTGAATAATACAATAAACGATGCTTTGATATTTCTTATTATTTGACCTGATGAGATGATTTTGTTATGTTGAGAGAAGTAATAATTCGAAATGAATCTCTTTTCTTTGATTGAGATCATGAATCGATCGATCTAAGTTAGACTATTATTGAAAACCTGGTAGCACTGGACGTTTATTTCGTCTTAGTGTAGGATTCCTCAGTAGTGCACATCTACGATCCCCCTTGGCCGGATCAATCAAAAACTTAACAGTCTTCACAACTCCATACTGAAATGAATTTGTTAAAGAATCTAAATTATATATGTACAAAGAAGAATAGTATTTCCCTTACATAGTTCTTTATTGAATGCTCTTAGATAATAGAATCGTTTTGAAATTAAATGTTCGATCACTTTGATATCTGAAATAACATAAATATAATTATGATAGCCTAAAATATCTAACAAATATCAGTTTATATCAAAGGGTTTTTGTGGTTCAAATCATAAGTCAATTGAAGCTAGACTATCATGGGAAACCTGAAAGCACTAGACTACCGTTTTGTCCTACTGTGGGACTCCTCAATAGTGCGCACCCACGATGTCGCCTCGTGGGATTCAAATCCAGGACCTATCGGTCTCACGCGCGAGCGTTTAACCTCTAGAACACTGAGCTGGCCACTATCCAACAGTGTTCATGTATAATTTCAACTAATCCACGAAGTTGAACGACACATCCACCATTTACATCATTGAGTTACTATCTCACAACAGACCCGGTTGAACTTCACTGGTCACTGATTCTCACTAGAACTCCAGGAAATACTTCTTGAAGCCAGTCACTAGTGAGCATATGTTGATTCATTTCAGAAGGTGTTTTGTGGATATTATAGTAATTTCAATGGTTGAGAGCATGAGTTAATTGAAGCTAGATCACCATGGAAAACCTGTAAGCACTGGACGGTTTATATGAAGAATTCTATTCACTATACAATTATGTTCTTTCAAGGTATGTGCAATGGCACGCATATGTAAATTGACAAATGCAGTAAGAAGTACTGACAAAGAGGACCGGTTAAGTTTTGTTTGTCTAAGTGAGCAGTCCGTTTCACATAATGCCCTCAGTCTTGCTGATGGATAAGTTACGTTCAACGCGGACATTATCCTATGGTTAATTATACCAGTGATTTCATCTCCTTTGAAGCGTATATATAAGAATCAATTTTTCTTATCATCTGAATGGTATTTAACCTGTAGGTTGGTTTTGGCAAACGTCTTCATGAATTTCTCTAGATATGCATTTCCACATAGGGAATTTGCAACGAAAGCAAGTACTTCTTCAAGGCTTTCCCTTGAGAAAAGTTTACGAACGCCATCTCAATGTATTCGTACAAAACCCATTTTGTATCTAATCAAACAGAATCTGTTGTGATTAGATAAGCTCCATTTCAGGTGGTTTTGCGTTAAATGTGTCTTAATGATGTGGGTGATTTTCTATGAACAATAAAATATACGAATGTAAATCATGTATTAGAATGTGTATACAAGTGGGAAACAGACATATTCATTAGGAAAATTTACCTCGTATATTGTTAGAAGTGGGTAACTGACAAGTCTCATTACTGTATTCATTCTCCAATTCTGGATCGGTGTGAGAATGAAAGTACAAATGTTACAGAATTGCTCAATCTATAAACAACAAGTCAACTATCATTCATTATCACTATTTGAACGAATAGAAACGACGTAGAAGCTACTAGGTGAACAGTCTAGATGGACGCTTCTCATATAGAATCAACCACGTTGCATACAACTCAAATAAGTAACCTATTATCACCAATACATGGAATTTCACGTGTCTGTGATTCGCACAACATCGATCAACATTGAATCGTTGAGTGATTCATCACACACAAAGTATAATCAATTTCAAACATTTCAGTGATATATTTGCTCTGTACACTTCGAACAATCTGATCAAAGTCACAATTGACAAGACATTTCATATGAAAATTAATGAGCAATTCCAGCAATATATACAACAAATCATCGTTGAATAATTCAAAGGAAACATAAGTGCCAAACACTCATTAGTAAGTATTCACACTCACTTGCATACACCGACTGTTCTTCAGTGAAACACTTCTTCATTATATCAGAATTTCGAACAGGTATTCCTACAATTCAATAGTCAAATAAGAAGGTTTACATTCGGTAAGATTACAGAACCACAACTATGTAGCACATAGAGTTCTTCATCACAGACATTCAACCACATTATAGAAACATTCACAAGTAAATGGAGTGTTGATGTCAAGTATATTAAATGATGATTGTGTTCCCATACAAACTGCATTTATCATCAACACATTTCAAATATTGTGAAAATGTTGATGAAATGGCATGAATACCGTTTCAGTTGTCAAACACGATCAGTACACTGGAGGAAATTACACATACCATGTATCTTTTCTTGTATTGTCATTTCTTTGATTAACTCTAAACATTGAAGGACAAGAGAATGTAAAGTAGCAATGAAACACATTGAATGAGAGATAAACTCGAGTGATAAATCATGTTTCACTATTCTATCATTTATTTATTTGCTTATTTGTTCCGAAATATTTTATTCGTAATTTCATTACATCATTCCGACGATTGATGTGAGAATTTGGCGACAATGATCGAAATACAATAATGTTGAGATGCTTATCACGAGACTTGATACGAGGCAATATCGGTATTTGTATTGGTGTGAAACCACCAGTTTGACATGTGCCCATTCAACAAACTCTTGGTGTGTGTGTTTGTGTGTGTGTGCGATCACCTCATCTGTATGCATAATTGATGTGAGTCGGTCGGATGTTGAGTGTGTTCGTTGTGAAACACTCAAATACTGTCGAACTCCATGCACATTGTTGCAATGTGTCATGTTACATGTTCTACAGTTGAGTCTAGCTCCAAATCCCATGTCTGTATGATAAACACCTCAAATTTTCATATTAATAATCAAATCATCAGATGCATAAATACTTCACACACATCATCATCATCGTCAACAACAACAACAATTTGCAGACGATCAAATTCACCAATTCCGAAGTGAAATACATTCGGTACACACTGACCTCCCATAAGTATCTTTTGTTCGATAGATTGATAAAGTTTACTTCTGCACATCATATCTACAATCATGAGGTAAGTTTGTTTGATTAGTTCATATTTCAACATACATTGATCAATTGATTGACTTTCAGTTGACAATTCCATATTGATTTTATCTGAAATGTGTACTAGAATTATATTTGTTATCTTTAAACAATAAATGATGAATGTTAATTTGGGTCACGGCTTCTCACTAGAACTCCAAGATTGCCCTCAAGAAACTAGTTACTAGTGAGCACATTGTTATTATCAATATAGGGTGGTGGAGATTATGAAGTGATTGATTGAGATTATTAACACGACTGATGTTAGACCACCACCGGAAACATTTAAGCGCTGAACGGCCGTTTTGTTCTATTGAGGAATTCCTCAGCAGTGCAGAGCCATGATCACGCTAGCGGGATTCAGCCTATTATCCCTATTTATTATCTTTAAATTTACGTTTTATGCTTAACATTTGAGCTTCATTTTCTCTGAAATTTTCAATTTCTTCTTTTATGTTCTCTGTAAATTAGGTAAAAGAGAATTGAGAATAGATAGTATATGAAACTAATATTATTCTTCACTTCTTAATAAATACATATTTCATAAACATAGTCATTTCTTCTTATAACTGTTTGGACCAAAACTACTAAAATTCAAGGAAGAACCATTCCAAGTACTTTTACGATAGCTAATATTGGAAGGTAGTATGTGTGAATTGTCCTATTCAAGGATTTTTCAGCCGAACGTATATTCATTGTGACTGTGAGGTTGAGTAAAACGAGATCGAATCAGTCAGGGAGCATTAGTTCCCTCAGGATTACAAGTACACCTTGCTGACGAGCACCAACTGGCATAAAATCTAGGTCCAGAGTTTCCTGTTGACTACATACAACCACCATCTCATCTCAACATAGTGCACGCGATTTCGAGCCACCTAGACTGGTGACCACATTGCAACTTGGTTGATAGGATTCGATCTGCACTATGAAGAACCTAACACGCATGACGTCGATCACCACATAGTGATCAACCAATTGTAAATACATCTCAGTCCTACAGAAGGTCGGTCGTTGTCCGGATTGCTCAGTGCTAATGTCTCTAACTATGAAGTTGGGTGATACAGGATCGAATCCATATATTCATTCTTGTGTTAATTCTCACTCTGAAACTCGAATCCGTCTACCATTTGATTCAATATGATCAAATAATTGTGATGAATTCCGTGAAGTCATAAAAACATAAATGTCAACAGTTTCTTTTATCAAATCCATAATATAAAGATAAAACATTTGAAAGGGAATTTTAATTCTTTAAACTAAGGCATACGTTCTGAATTTTGGAAGTTGAACTCAATATCATCTTTTTCATTATCAATTTTTCGTCTGTAAAAAAATGAAACAATCATTCAGTCAAAATGTAGATCCTTCACTGTTTTATACATAAAAATAGTATCTGATCGGGTTCTGGGTTGAAGTCTCACAAGGCGAGATTGCGGGTGCACACTGCTCAGAAGTCCCATACTAGGATGAAACGGACTTCCAGTGCTTCCAGGTTTTCCTTGATGGTCCAGCTTCAATTGATTCATGGATTCATTTCAACGAGTGATGTTTAATTTAATACAAATTAGAAAAAATACAAACAAAAAGTTAGTTTTTTTCTGAGAAGAGATGGATAATGACTGGCAGTATAATCCAAGACGTGCGTTTCGTCCTGTTTTGGGCTCGTCAATTGGATGTACTTGCACCTCAGTGTTAATGTTCACTGCGGGACTCAAACCTAGCACTGCTTACTTTAAACACTATAGCGTTGTTTACATAGCTTCTTTGTCCTGATAACCACTAGCTTGTGAAATTGTGTGAAGTTTGAGTTCATTTTTGTATTGGTTGTTTGAATCTTTCCGTATATGTTTAAGATTATCACTTACTTATTGAGATATATGCATCTTATGCAGATTGCCTTGATATTGCCTTAAATCACAAGCATTGTAAGCAGAGATGGATGGTTGATAGCAGTGTATCACAGGAAACGCGTTTCATACTAGTTGAGACACCTTTGCATAAGTCAGTGGCTAACGGACACACAGTAGCTTAGTGGATAATGCAATAGCGTTTGAAGTGAGTGGTACTATGTTCGAGTTCCAGGGTATACATCAACTCTGGAATTCTGATATTTTGGCCAATGAGTTCTAGATAACACAAAACGCATGTCCTGGACTACATTTCTAGCCAATATCCATTTATGCTTATAATACTTGTAGCTTAAGTTAATACGAATCAATCTGCATAAGATGCACATATGCCAACATGAGACTGATCAGTTGCAGTCCTAAACATTAATGGGAAGACATAAACAACTATAACAAAAATGAATGCAACCAGTTCCTTATATTGACTTACATTTTGATAAACGTTTAGTAATTTCATTGGCAATGTTTAATTGAAATTCATATGTAACTGAAATGACAAATTAGAACAATAATTGGATATATACTACTGATAAAATAATCACCATTAGTGTTAATTAAGTAGTTAATTTCGATTTATCCGAAAATTAAATCACTTGTTATATACACTGTACACAGTATGAATAAAGTTGAATAGGAACAATTGTAGTGTATGCTACTGATGTTGACAGTGATATAAGTAGTATGTGTATCATTGATCGAAAGTGAAATGTCTGGTGGTAGTAGAAGATTAAGATCTAAGGAAAAAGAACGACATCAAACAGTGATTGATGTGGAAACGAAAGAAAAAAATCAAGTCTGAGACGATTGATAGACATTTTGCAATTGAAGTATTCAGTGCATGGTTCTTAGATTTTATAAAGATTTTCTGTGATGATGTATTCAAATACATTCGACTGTCTTCATTTATGTACTCATTCATTACAGTATTTATTCATCTGAAAATGTTATTCTTTGGAAAATCTGAACAAAAAAAAATTCTACTTACATAATCTATAATTGTAATCTCGAAGATGGCGATATTGTTTCGAAATCATGGTACGTAATGGACGGACAACTATAAAACATGAAGTTCACACTGTTTAAACCAGGAAATGAATATTGCTTTTATGATACATGAAACATGATCTATCTCTCTTAATATTGATTAATTAGTTGATAGGGACTATATTGCTTTGAATCAAACATTCGAATAAAGCGGTCTACTTGAATATCTCGGCTATGTATTTCTGTCAACTAGATATTTCAACAGGTTATCTGTTTACTTATTTGTTTAAACTCATCAATACACCTATTAATCGCATAACGTATTCAAGTGCATTTGTGAAAAGTTTACAACATTTCAATGTACAAGTTAGGATAATGTACAATCGGAGACATCGTGGTTACTGGTGGACAATATGCATATAGTTGAATTCATGAGTCAATTGAAGCTAGACTACCATAGAAAACCTGGGAGCACTGGACGGCCGTTTCGTCTTAGTGGACAGTGGCACAACTTCGTGGATTGGTTGAAGTTAGACACTAACACCGTTGGGTACCGGCCGACTTAGTAGTCTAGTGGTTAAGCGTTCTCGCGCGAGAATGATCTGGACTCAAATCTTGCGAGGTAGGATCGTGGATGCGCACTGCTGAGAAGTCCTATACTAGGATGAAACGGCCGTACAGTGCTTCCAGGTTTCCCATGGTGGTCTAGCTTCAATTGACTCATGAATTCGAATATATTTATAATATATTATTCAGTCTATTCAACTTATTTATATTCATTATATACTATACTAATATATCTTCAAAATACCTTCCAACTAAATTCTTTCATGAAAGTAATTCAAACTGATTAAATGTTTATGATCTTAAGTATTAATAGGCTCGTAAGCAATTGATGAGATACAAATGAAATAAGACAGAGTGAATTCATGATATTCTGTTATAGTCATTGTTAATGAATATTGTGGTGATCGACTGGATCATGAAGAAGTCAACATCTGGTCGGAAACATGAGATACAGTGAACAGATACGATACAGCTCGAAGATCTAGATTCCACAAATGATCTGATTCTTCTATCGAACACACAACAACAAATGAAGGAGAAGACGATCAGTGTGGCAGCAGCAACCTCAGCAGCAGTAGGACTCTACATACACAAAACGAAAAGCAAGATTCTCTGATACAACACATCATGCAGCAATCAAACTACACTTGATGGAGAAGCTTCGGAACATGTAAAATCCTTCACATATCTGGGCAGCATGATTGACGAACACGGTGGATCTGATGCAGATGTGAATGCGTGGATTGGCAAAGCAAGAGTAGCATATCACCCATCGAAGTACATCTGGAACTCAAAACAATTGTCAACCATCACCAAAGTTAGAATTTTCAATACAAATGTCACGATAGTTGTACTGTATGAGGAGGAAACCTGGAGAACTACGAAATCCATCATCTAGAAGATACAAGTGTTTGGTGACAGTTGTCTACACGAGATACTTCGAATCCGTTGATCAGTCACTATCAGCAACAACCTAGTGTGAGAGAGAAGAAACCAGATTGCAGTTGAGCAAGAAGTGAGAAAGAAGAAGAAGAAGAAGAAGCGTTGTAAGTGGATAGGACACACATTGAGGAACGCGACGAACTGCATTGCAAGGTAAGCCGTCACTTGGAATCCTGAAGGTCAAAGGAGAATAGGAAGATCAACTAACACATTATGCCGAGAAACGGAGACAGACATGGAAAGAATGAACAAAAATTGGATAGAACTGGAAAGGAAGGCGCAGGTGAAAGTGAGTTGGAGAATGCTGGTCGGCGGCTTATGCTCCATTAAGAGTAATAGCCGTAAATAAGTTAGTAAGTAAGTAAGTAATATGGTATTATAAAATGTGGATTATTCAAGTTTACCTTTTCTAGAATATGTACTATGTCCAATGCATGTATCCTTCGCATATTTAGAACGTATTTCTATTAAGAAGTGGAAAAAATGTTCATTGAAAAGTTAGTATAGATTTAGTTTTATTTTTATAGAATTAAGTTTTGATAATTCTGTTCATTATTTAGTCTATTGTTATGAATTAAATAAGATGAAATGATGATTCATGAACGAACCAATCAGATTTAAGATAACAGGTCTTGAATTTTTGGCGCGAAATTCATTTATCTATTTGGTAAAATAATGTTTTGACATTTTAGCTGATGACAATTCGTGATGAAAGCCATGAACCTAATTCCTAACGTTAACTATCAACTGTAGATCATAATTCGAATTTCTTACACTGGTTTATAACCTTCATTTCAATAAATCTCTCCTAATATCTGTCAAATGTTTATCAGTTATCTAATCAATATCATTCATGATTGATTGATCACTGAAGGGTGAACAATGTCATGTGTGTAAAGTCCTTCTTAGTTCAGATCGAATGATATCGACTAAGTTGCAATGTGGTCACCAGTCTAGGTGACTCAACACTGCGTGCACTATGTTGAGATAAGATAGTGGTTGTAGGTAGTCAACAGAAAACTCTGGACCTAGGTTTCATGCTACTTGGTACTCGTCAGCAACGTGTGCCTGTAATCTTGAGGAAACTGGTACTACCCTGACGGATTCTGTCCCGTGTCACCCAGCTTCACAGTCAGAGACGTTACCACTGGGCTATATGCTGGCCGCAACCCACTTCCTGTAGGACTGAGATGTAATCACAATTGATTGATCGCTGAGTGGTGATCTGTGTCATGTGTATCAGTTTGGTCGCGGTTGGATAAGAAAGATGTTACTCAATGGAATGATATTGTCTAGTTCAGTATTTATTTGAACACACTATAGATGATACTATAAGGAAATAATTTCTATATTTTCCATAAATATCATAGGGGGAGAAAAAGGTCGTTGAAGTCTGTCATTATCAAACACATTACATGAAATAAAATTTGTTGTTGAATACATAGATTGTGTTAATAGTGACATTGTAGGTGTAACAGAATATCATTTAGATTGATTAATTAGAAACTGTGCATAGATCAAATCACGCACTACGGATCATTGTTGAGCAACCAATTGAATGGAACTCATAAATATACATCAACTTCATTGATTATGAGAAAGCAATTGACAGTGTGGATAGGAGAACCATATGGAACCTTCTTCTACACTATGGTGTACCTGAGAAGATTATCAACCTTATCCGGAGTCAGACAAGGCTGTCTACTCTCTCCCTTCCTCTTTCTTCTGGTGGTCGACTGGATTATGAAGACCTCGACATCTGAGGGAAAACACGGCATACAATGGACAGCTCAGAACCAATTAGGCGATTTGGACTTTGTGGATGACCTAGCCCTCCTATCGCATACACACGAACGAATGCAGATAAAGACAGCCAGTGTAGCAGCTGTCTCTGCACCAGTAGGCCTCAAGATGCAAAAAAGGGGAAACCAAGGTCCTCAAATATAGCACGGAAACCAGCAGTCCAATCACACTTAATGGCGAAACTCTGGAAAATGTTGAATCCTTCACATATCTCGGAAGCATCATCGATGAACAAGGATGTTCAGTTGCAGACGTAAAGGCGAGAGCTGGTAAAGGAATGGCCGCATTCTTGCAATTGAAGAAGATATGCAACTCAAAACAACTTTCAACCAATATCAAAGTGAGAATCTTCAATACGAACGTCAAGGCAGTTCTACTGTATGGAGCTGAAACTTGGAGAACTACTACAACCGTCATCAAGAAGGTGCAAGTATTTATAGATAGTTGTCTGTATAAGATACTCAATATCCATAGGCCGGATACCATCAGTAATAGCCTTTTGTGGAAGAGAACAAAGCAGCTTCCATTTGAAGAGGAAATCCGGAAAAGACGTTAGAAGTGTATATGAATTACATTACGGGTGGAGAGTTCTGATGGGCGGTCTATTCTTTTTTGTGAGGAGTAACAGGCGTATGTAATTAATCAGAAAGCATCAATTTCCTTGTATTCAAACTGAACAACTATTTGAACAATGATTTAACATCCAACTGAAGAGTTCAAAGTAGGACGAAACAAATGTCCTAGATTCCACTACTAGCTAACATTCATCGTTGCTTAGAATGTTTTTTTTCATTATATTTAATTACAATTACATATTTCATACAATATGAATCTACTTCAAAATCACAAGTTGTTAGTAGTAAATTTCAGTATTATATTACATAAGTATAAAAATAAATTTACGTTTGTATATTGACTGTTGTTCATTGTAACAGTCGATTAATTTCGAACTTTCCGGTATTATTACTCCTATGAAATATTATTAAAATAATATGAACTTCAAATGAGAATGTAATGTGTACATCAAACTGTTGGGGTGATCCAGAAAATTGCTTGTAAAAGACAAGCAAACATCAGGAAATACTAAGAAGCATTTCATTCAATCAGTGTTCACTTGAAGTCTTAGCCAAAAATATCAAGGAAGCGAAATGTCACATACAAAGGCTTTGATTGGTTGACTGCTACACTGCTACTATGTTTAGTAGCATTCCAGAATCTTTTAGCAACCCAAAAACATTTAAAATATTATAAAACCCCTGTATTTTCTGTATTAAAATGAATCATGGAGTAAACTACTTCTCGCATACTTTGAGTCTTCTCTTTCATGTTCAGGTCGCTATCTAGTTCTAGCTTAGGGGTTACAGAATAGCTTAGGAGACGAATATAGCGTTCAATCTGCAAGACTTATCACAAACATTAATTGATCAATTACTCAGAATAATGAATCATTAACAAAACAAAATGATGATAAACTGATGAATGAAATATAATGTGAAAGGAACTTATGATATCCATCTTGTAATTATTTTCACTCCGCTAGGTGCCTCTTTGGGGCTATTGCCAGTCCCAAGCTCAGATAAAGTAGGAGGATTGGGTATGGAGTTAGTGATCTCATCTCATTAGAAAACTAACTTGTTGAGAACAAAAACATCACCCAGAAATTGTAAATATTCTATTGAAATGGTCAATACTGTTAATGTAAATTATGTAATACTAACTAATGATTACCATATTCATTTACACCATTTTCTATAGTCTTGATTATTTCTACAAAGATGTTAAATAAGAAGCGATTACATTTAAAGCTTACCAAAGTATGTATATATATATATATATACTTGATTTATCAGTATTACGAACAGAATGTTTGCCTAATTAGAACTGCAACTGACCAGTCTCTTATTGACATATATTGTATCATATGCGGATTACTTCGTTATTGTCTGAAATAACAAGCATGGATGGATAATGGCTAGGATGAGGATTTTGCCCTATTCGAGATTCATCAACTGAATATACTTTCATCTCAGAGTTCATGTTCAGTCCGGAGTTTAAATTCATCAAAGTTAAGAATAATTTGACAATCTTATTTAAACAATATTCATTGAATAGACTTGAAGAGTTTCAAACAATTATAATGCATAATATAAAGACACTTATCAGTATGGAGTTGTGTAGATTATTAAATTTTTGATTGAGATCATGAACACGATCGATATTAGACCACCATTGAAAACAAAGAATCACTGAACGGCTGTTTCGTCTTATTGTGGAACTCCTCAGCAGTACTCAGTGAGCCCGCCGGGGTTCGAACTCAGGGCTTGCATGTGAACTCTTAACCTTTATTGTATGTAGACAAAGTGACAAACACATAAATATAACTATTCAAATTTATACGATAATTATCAATATAGGATTGTGGAGATTGTTAAGTTTATCGATTGAGATCATGAATCGATCCATGTTGGATCATCATTGATAATTTGAAAGCGCTGGATGACTGTTTCATCTTAGGATGGAACATTTCAATATCGTTAAACAAGATGACTTTGATTGATTACAAAAAAAAACAAAAAAATAAATAAATAAATGAAAATAATTGGCACAATAGTTTGTTTAAACTACTTGTCATTAATGAAGCACCAAAAAATGCTTCCGCTTTTATTCTACAACATTCTATATCTAAAATAATTCGTTTGAATTTGTCATAATAAATTTGTTTGTTTACATACAGTTATTAATTGATTTGTTATTGCCAGATATTCCTTTATTGAATTGATCTACAATAGAATAGATACAAACAATTAATGTAGTGCAAAACTGATTTATAAGTAAAAATGGATAATGGCTATTAGTTGTAGAATCTAAGTCGCTTGTCACTTCGTCCTGTTAAGGATGGCGTTTGAAACGAACGGTCAGTCAGTCAGTTAGCGAACACGTAGAACTTTGTACGTACAAACATCAGTTCAAGTTGGCATATTACATTAGCACAGAGATACAGTTGTCGATTCAAATCCCGTAGTAGTAAAGGTAGTATGTAGTGGCTGTGCTTCTATAATTAATCACCCTCGAACCGTTATCGTATAATCCTCAACGATGTTTGAAATCAGAAGGCAAAGAGAAGCAGCTACTACAGTTTATTTAGTAGATAATTCGGACCAGACAGCAGAGAGGCAAAATGAATGAGCAAGCGAACTACGATTGTAACAGTAGCAAGTAGCTGTAGTAGTAGTAGTAGTTGTTGTAGTAGATGGGTGCAAATGTACACATATATATATATATAGGAAAATGGATGAGTCAGCGAATAGATTAAGCAGTTAATAATGAAGCTAGCAGAATGAATACATGCGTAGGCGCTCAACACTGTTCAAGCGTATGTATTTCATACAAGCATTAATAATAAAGATAGTACAACAAGTTGTTATATCATGGATGACTTTGTCCACTAAATAAGTTAACAAAAAGGGCTTAACTGGGTTAAATGAAAATAAACCCATTAGCACGTGAGTCGCTATAATAGCTCCCCCCTGCAAACAAAGATATATGGAAAAATGTCTGTGTTTGCACAAAAAAATAGCAAACTGAGTAGGGTAGTTACAATCGTTTGAAACAAAATGGTTTTTACAAAATTAAGATGAAGTTGGTGTGTGCTGTACATTTGATTTGCGCCTGTCCGTGAGGTTACATAAAATAATAGCAAGAAATAGAAGGAATGTGGTACTGTCTTTACATTTTAAACAAAAATTATACGCATAAGTGTAAGGGTACATAAGATACGTTGAGTTTTATCGCGCATAACATGAGCTTAATAATGCATGCGTATACGATGAGGTAGAAGTTATAATTAATATTTAAAATAGTAGATTATTATTAATAGAAAATTGTAGCGACATAATGTTGGGGCCATCTTACTCTGCGGCCGGATCTTGTTGTTATCGGAGTCTTGTCTTTTTGTTGCGTTAACGTTGTTGATTTTTGGGATTCGTGTTTCGCTGGTATGACCATCTTAGAGGAGTCTGTACTTGTTGATTGAATATCGCTATCGATGAAAGCTGGCTTTACTCGATCGATGCTAATTACATCTGTCTTCCCAGCTTTTTCTATGGTAACCGTTTTATTTGTCCTCTCTATCACTTTAAATGGTCCGTCGTAACTCGGTTGAAGAGGTGGTTGTATTTTATCTCTTCTGATGAATACGTGAGAGCTGTTATGCAGTTCCTGTGGTATGAATACCCGTCGTTGTTGTGGTCTGGGAGGTGTTATTTTTAAATCGCTCATGTGCTTTCTCAGGCGTTGCACATAGCCGGTTACATCAGTCGGGACATTTTTACTTGAAGTGAAGAATTCTCCGGGTAATCGTAGAGTAGTTCCGTAAACTAACTCGGCTGGACAACATCCCATGTCTTGTTTAATTGTTGCTCTTAGGGCTAACATTACTAGGGGAAGTTTATTAGACCAATCGTTGTTAACGATGACGGCTGTAAGGGACGCTTTTAATTGCCTATGTAGGCGTTCAACCATTCCGTTTGCCATTGGATGGTACGACGTCGTTCGGATTCGTTTAATACCGAGGAGTTCAGTAAGCTGCTGAAAGAGTCGACTTTCGAATTGTGCTCCTCTATCCGTTGTGATAATCGTTGGTACACCGTAGTAAGAAATCCAATTTTCAACTAGGGTTTTAGCTACCGTTTCAGCTGAGGTGTCTTTTATCGGCACTGCTACAGGCCATCGTGTAAACCTATCGATGCATGTAAAGATATAGTTGTATCCATTTGAAACGGGCAGTGGTCCTACAATATCGATGTGTATATGTTCAAATCTAGTGTCTGGGTGCGAAAACGGACCTACTGCAGAGCTAGTATGACGATGTACCTTCACTTTTTGGCACTTCATGCATGCTTGTGTCCAATTACGTACATCGTGATTCATGTTTGTCCATACGAATCGTTCACTAATCAGCTTTATCGTGGCTTTTATTCCTGGGTGCGACATGTTGTGCATGCTTTCGAATATTTTGTGTCGCAACGTTTTCGGGATAAATGGTCGCGGTCGGCCTGTTGATGTATCGCAAATTACTTTCGTGTTACCAAACCGCACCTCTTCGAGTACTAATGATGTTGAACCTCCGGATCTGAGTTTATTTAGCTCGATGTCTCTCTCCTGCAACTTTGCTAGACCGTTATAATCAATTCCACTTGCCATAAGTGTGCTTATCGTTGCTCGTGACAATGCGTCGGCCACATCGTTTTCTTGTCCTTTAACGTACTGTATGTCGGACGTGAACTGTGAAATGAACTCTAGTTGTCGGATCTCTCTCGGGGAATAATTGTCTTGCTTTGCGCTTAATGCTTTCGTTAGCGGTTTGTGGTCTGTATAGACGGTAAAACTTATGCCCTCAACCATATGACGGAAGTGTTTTATTGCTAAGTAGATTGCTAACAATTCTCTTCCAAACGTACTATATCTCGTTTGGGTAGGATTTAATCTTTTCGAGAAAAATGAAAGCGGTTCCCATATGCCATTTACTAATTGTTGTAAAACGGCTCCTACCGCTACGTCTGATGCATCCGTCATGATAGCTAACGGTGTTTCGCTCTTTCGTCTAGTTAGTGTCACTTCTTTATTTAGTGCTTTTTTAGCGTTCTCGAATGCTTGAATCGCGTCTGGTGATAATTGGAATGTCCGTGCGTTTCCGCGTAATGCATCTGTTAGTGGTTGCAATATTGACGCGCAATTCGGGATAAATCGTCTGTAATAATTTATTAACCCGAGAAATCGGCGTAACTTTTTCCATGAGTCGGGTAGGGGATAATTTTTGATGGCGTCGACTTCTGTTGCTATTGGTGTGATGCCTTGAGAAGTTATATTGTGACCTAGGAACTGTAAAGATTCCTTTCCGAATTCACACTTCTCAATATTTATAGAAATACCATGTTCTCTGAGTCGTATAAATAATTGCCGTAGTTGTTGTATATGCTCATCTTTAGTGGTGCTAGCTACTAGTAAATCGTCGATATACGCGTATACTCCAGGTAAACCTCTAATGACCTGGTCGATAAATCGTTGAAAGGTTTGTGCTGCGTTAGTCAGTCCAAAAGGCATACGCAGGAATTCATATAGCCCAAATGGGGTTGTTACTGCTGTCTTCGGTATGTCTTGTGGGGCAACAGGAATGTGGTAGTATGCTCTGACTAAGTCGATCTTCGAGAAGATAGTAGTGCCCTCAATACTGTAGGTGAAATCATGGATGTGCGGTATAGGGTATCTGTCAGCTACGGTTTGTTTGTTCAGTGCTCTGTAATCTCCACATGGCCTAACCTCTCCATTCTTTTTCGGGGCCATATGTAGCGGGGATGCCCACGGGCTGCTCGATGGCCTTATAATGCCTAGCTTCGTTAGCTTGTCGAATTCCTGTTTTGCGATGGCTAGTCTTTCGGGATCTAACCTTCTTGGTCTTGCTTTGATTGGTGGACCATTCGTTACGATGTGATGCTGAATAGAATGTTTGAGATCCGCTTTATTGTATGTTATTTTTACGAGTTCAGGGAACTCCCTTAACAACAATTTATATGGATCACCACGACTTTTATCTATCACAAGGTTCATTGAAACGGCTTCCGTAAGTATTCCTCTTATCGAAGTGGTTTGACTGCCGTTTATAAGTCTGTGTCGTCTCGAGTCTACTAGCAGGTCAAAGTTACATAAGAAATCTATGCCTATTATGGGCATCGATACGTCTGCTATGACAAAGTTCCAGCGGTATGAAGCGCCACGTCCAAAATCTAGGAACAATTTCCGTTTACCATATGTCTTAATATCTGATTTGTTTGCTGCTCTTAGCACTAATGACGGATTAATGTTTTTTCTTTCCTCGTTAAATGGAGGTACTACGCTAATTTCCGCTCCAGTGTCAACTAAGAATTGTGCGCCAGTGGTTCGGTCTTGTATATAGAAGAGGCGACTATTTTCAGGCATTATGTGAGTTGATGCCGTTGCCATTGATACTCGTGGGTATCGGTTACTAGCCCTGTTAAATCTACAAGGTTGTAGGCACTTTCTAGCCCTGTAGCCAAACATTTGATGATACCAACATATCGCGGGAGTTGTGCGTCGTCTAGAAGTTGACCGGGTCCTTTCACGCGAGCGATCTCGCGATGACCTTCGTGGCTTTTCTCTCTGCGTTAATTCTGTGAGTTTGCGGCATAAAACATTTATTTCCTTCTGTAGAGTATCAAGTCTATCGTCTACCGTCACGTTGTGTAGTGGAGGGCTTGCTTGCTTGCTTCTTTCGTATATTCTATCGGCTATCTTTGCTATATTGTCTAAATCAGCATCCGTATCTCCCACAGCCAGGATCTGCTGTATTTTTGCCGGGAGTCGGCGGAGCCACAGTTGATAAAAGAGATTATTGTCAATGTGTCTATCGCCAAGTAGACTTTTCATATAATTTTTTAGCTGTGATGGGGTTCTATCTCCAATTTGTACTTGGCTAAGGAGTTGTTCGACGGCTTGTTGGTCACTGAGAGAGAGAGTTTTAATTACTGCCTCTTTTAGCACGTCGTATGGTTTCTCTGTGTCTGGTTTTGCTAGTGCCTCTCGAACGCTGTCAGCTACTTCGTCTGGGAGTAGTGTGCTTGTCAGGCCGAACTTATCCTTTTGCAAAAAAATGCGGTTAGCGAGAAAATAATTTTCAAGTCTTATAAACCAGAGTTTTGGGTCTGTTATTTTAAAAGAAGGGGCAGGGAGGTTAAGAGACCTCACGGACGAGGCTTGCTGTACGCTTGAAACTGTGTTTTCATAAGACATGCTTATAAAAATTAAGTAGCACACGAAAATAACTTAACAGTCACAAGGAAAAATAGATGGGCAAAACAATGATAATAAAAAAATGGTACAATTTATAAAATGGAACAGACTTACTAAATTGCACCAATATATCGATTGTTTATGGATAATTGTTATTTATTATGATTATAATCGTCACGTTTAATAATGTTTGCGAAATAATGTAAGTGTAATTAAAATAATAATATAAATCCACAGTTGTAATTATAGTTCATTTGATAATCCAAATTGAGATGAAAAGAATCGGATTTTTGAGATTTGATTATTTCGCCAAAATTCGCTTTCCGTTCTCACGTCGGGATTACCAATTCTGTAGTGGCTGTGCTTCTATAATTAATCACCCTCGAACCGTTATCGTATAATCCTCAACGATGTTTGAAATCAGAAGGCAAAGAGAAGCAGCTACTACAGTTTATTTAGTAGATAATTCGGACCAGACAGCAGAGAGGCAAAATGAATGAGCAAGCGAACTACGATTGTAACAGTAGCAAGTAGCTGTAGTAGTAGTAGTAGTTGTTGTAGTAGATGGGTGCAAATGTACACATATATATATATATAGGAAAATGGATGAGTCAGCGAATAGATTAAGCAGTTAATAATGAAGCTAGCAGAATGAATACATGCGTAGGCGCTCAACACTGTTCAAGCGTATGTATTTCATACAAGCATTAATAATAAAGATAGTACAACAAGTTGTTATATCATGGATGACTTTGTCCACTAAATAAGTTAACAAAAAGGGCTTAACTGGGTTAAATGAAAATAAACCCATTAGCACGTGAGTCGCTATAAGTAAGAGTATAAGCAGTAATCGGATAGATTAGGGTTTGAAGATGTTATTCAAAGAGTATAAAACAGTGAAATAAATTTGGAGAAGGAAAAAAAAGAAAGGGACACGAAGGTTTCAGAAGATTATAAATGGCGAGAACACAGAATCGATGCACCTGTGCCATTGCAAACGATTTTGAGCTATGTCATTCAAGGTCTCTAACCATCAGTTGCTATCATCTCGCGGATCCCAACCAAGTATTCTACACTTACCAACATGACTCAGTCCACTTGTCAGTGACTTGATGGATTTGTGCCACGTTTTTGGTCTGGCCGTTTCTATCTCAAAAAAGATAAAACGCTCTTCCTGAATTTCACTGCTAGCCACTGCTATCCATCTTTGCTTATAATGCTTGCGAACTAAGATAATATTGAAGCAATACGCACAGTATGCACATATGCCAACAAAAGAAACTGATTAATTACAGTCCTAAACATCAATGGGATGATTCAAGTAAAACAATATCAAGTAAATTTCGGCATTCTTATTTAGTTAGAAAATTAAAAGAAATTTATGAATTTATAAGAACTTTCATCTTAATTGTGATTGAATAGTTTCACAGTATTTGGGCGCCGAATCGATCCAAGACATTAAAGAGGAAGAATGTACCTGTAAAATCTCAAGCGAATGAATTTGAATTAGATTCAACGTTTCGTCTGGTAATCTAGTTCAAGGTTTTCAATGAAATATTGCCAGGCGAAACGTTGGATTTACTTCAAATTCATTCACTTGAGATTTTACAAGTACATTCTTCCTCTTTAAATACATGAATTATCTGAGAATAATACAATTTGTCTGAATCATACAGTTATTCTAGTCAGTACAGGGGTTGTGGAGATTATTAGGTTTTTGATTGAGATCATGAACCGATTGATGTTAGACTACCGTTGGAAACCTAGACGCAATGGAAGGTCGGTTTGGTGATCTCGTGGATTGGTTGATGTTTGACACTAACACCATTGGATACCGGTCTAATGATTCAGTAGATTAAGCATTTGCGCGCAAGACTGAATGCCCTAGGTCCAAATCCTGCAAGCGGGATCGTGGATGCGCACTGCTGAGGATTCGCACAATAGGACGAAACGGCTGTCCAGTTATCCTGGTAATTCAATAATCAGTATTAATGATGATGCAATACTAATCTAGATCACATTATTCATTTATGTGAACTGTTCAACTCATTGAATGGGACAACATGTTCAGTATTTAAACTATGATATTTTAAGAACCGATCTTAGCACAGAATTCTTGACTTTAACAACTTCCAGCAAAGAAAATTCATAACCTTCATTATGATTAATTATGTATTGTAATATACAAAGTATAAATTTCAATACTCATACAATACTGTACACTTATTCACAGTTAGTCTTCGTATTCACAATAAAATTACGTTGCCAATCATCACATCTTAAATTACATATTAACATGGATCAAGCTTTTACTCGAACGTTGATCCATGAGTAGATTTCAATTAAAGCTAATCATCTTCTTTAAAATACTATATCAAATAAAATTCACATCAATTGATGCAATCCAAACTACGGTTTGGATGTTGAAGAATAGCCTTCCGGGGACTTTAAACACGCGCCCTTTCCCGTCGAAATCAGAACAAGTAATCGGGTTCTTGATAAATCATATCATTTGGGGGAACCCCTGCAAACTGGGCGGCACGATCAAGGACCACTCTAAGATCTGGTTTTTTCATGTTTAATACTGCACGATGAGGTAAGTACCATCGAGGGCGATAATAAGACTGCAGATATATTTCAAAGACCCTCTCCGCATAAGTCTTAGTAAAATCACTTTCAGTACTTTTGATATACTTGATGTGCAGACTGACATCCTTCGACAACATACCCTTCAAACTTTGTAATCTACGGTTTGGTACTTCATAATTATCCACTTTCATATCTGGATTCTTTTTCCAAGGTATAGAAACTACAAAATGACCGTTGCGAAGCGCGTGCCACCTTCCACAATCTTTATAGCCACCTTGTCGTCTACTGATGATGATTTATCACTTAAATAAGCATCTGAAAACTCTACGTCATAAGGCTTACGTATTTCGTTCTCTAATGTCTGTATCTTACTGGTATGATTAACAACTCTTTTCCTATATTCCGGGCATGATGGCTTATCATTTACGACGTTGCTTGTCGAGTCAGTTTGCAGCAGAGCGTGATGTCTCCTCTCGCAACTGTCAACCTTACAGAGCCTTGTCATCTTACATTCATTAACCTTATGTCCTTGTCTAAGACAGACGAAACAGATACCCTTGCCTTTAGCGTGAGACCATCGGTCTTGAACTGTAAGCGCTAGGAACTGTGGACATTTATCAATGGCATGGTCGTAGGAACACATACTGCATTTAGTCGAACTATTCCCTTGCTCTGATTGCACGTGACAGTTCGTCTTTACGTTATGTCCTTTTCTAGAACGGTTTGCTAACCGTCCAAATCTACTAAAAGCCACTCTCGCACGCGATGCGATAAACTGAGTGAGCTCGTCGAAGGTCGGTTCCCTGTTATCTCCAGTCAATTTATCCACCCAGTCCGCCCACTGGGCTTGCATAGGTTGAGGCAAGAGTCTCACTATTCTTTCCAAGGTAACTAAGGAATTTAGATCAGAAGTATAATTCATCTGCTCCAAGACCATGGCACAGTTTTCCATCTTAATAGCCAAATTTGATAGTTGGTCCCCGTTAATATACTCAAAATTCACAGCACTGAATAAGTCCTCTAGTGTTTCTCGAGCAATTACGTGAGACTGTCCGAAAAAAACGTTTTAAAATCTCCCTTGCTCTTTTATAGCCAGAGGATGCCTCCATCATGACGCAACCTTCAATAGCTGTTTTAGCCTTGCCCTTGCAGTAGTGTATCAAATAGAGCAAGCGCTGGCTATCATCCGTGACTCTTGATGCTACATACGTCTCGAATTGCTTTATAAACTTCCAATAACCTCTTGGCTCTCCATCGAAATAACTCAGTTCAACCTTTGGTAGATCTGGGCCAAAAACATGGACTCTAGGCAACATGCTCTTTCCTAGTAATTCAGACCTTTGCTCCTCCTTCAAACTAAGATTTTTTACATCATCTGACATCTAATTAAGACTCGAATCACTGCCATGATAATTAACCCTATTTAAGTCTGAACCATGACCCTTAAAGACGTCAAAAGGCACTTGCTTGACAATAGGGGATTCTTCGTTAACATCGACGAACTTTGAGTCTGATCTCCTTCGACGATGAACTGGCATTATAAGCGACACGACCAATTATTTCCAGAAAATCCGTGAACGATTACCAAAGGATTTCGGCCAAGAACACATCTACACAACTTCAAACTCTGTGTATAAAGTACAAATGTCTCATTCAAAACACTCTCTCTATACGAATTACTATGATGTAAACTATTCGATATTGTGGAACGATTTATGGTCATATGTGTGTGTAAAATGTGGTCGCTATCATTAGTTGTCTGCTCAATTGATGTTTATCTCTTTACCGAAATCTATTTGAAAATGCTTACACATCTGATTTGATTGGATTGTACTAGATTTGTGCAGGTAAATAGACATTGAATATTTGATAATTGTTTGTATCGAACACAATAATGAAACTGCTTAGCTCGACGATACTTAGGTATACTTGCGTCTTCCATAATAGATTTCATGAATCTCGACAATAATGATATCATTCTTTAAATCATGAAATAGATTAGCAATTGTATAAATGCAAATCTATCACAGTGAATTATGTTCTATCACTTGATATACTACTTTTACATTTAGTCATTTACTTATTTGTGACACGTTTCCATTACATCAAGAATTGAGAGTAGATATGAATAGGATAAATAGTAACTGGGAATAATTGCCCAAGACAAAGTTAGAAAGAGAATAGTGGTAAGCGGCATATGCTCCTCCATGTGGGATAACAGGCATACACTAAGTAATTAAGATTTGTATGTTAGTATAGTATACCGAAGTGATGATAATATAATAATAAATGTCATTGTATATATATATGTGTACATCTATTTAAAAGGAGAGATTTGAATTACTTTGTAATGTCTCAATTTCATCTAAAGCGTCTATTGCATATTTCACATCCTGTTTAGTTTGATCTAAAAGAAACAATATGATATAAAGAAATATGTATTCATGATTCTAAATACTTCTACATACTTGAAGAACTCTTCAGGTCGGTAGTGATCACTTGCCTTTGCTGGTTCTTATTACTGTAGTCTATTTATCATCTTAACGTAACTGATAACCCATGATTGATTCAAATTCTACAAGGTATAATTCACTTTATGTCACCTGGTTTAGTTATTCCAGTGTTATAATATTCGGACAGTAATGAAAATTGAATAGTTATGATAATGACATACTACTACTACTACTACTACTACTACTACTACTACTACTACTACTACTACTACTACTACTACTACTACTACTACTACTACTACTACTACTACTACTACTACTACTACTACTACTACTACTACTACTACTACTACTACTACTACTACTACTACTACTACTACTACTACTACTACTACTACTACTACTACTACTACTACTACTACTACTACTACTACTACTACTACTACTACTACTACTACTACTACTACTACTACTACTACTACTACTACTACTACTACTACTACTATACTACTACTACTACTACTACTACTACTACTACTACTACTACTACTACTACTACTACTACTACTACTACTACTACTACTACTACTACTACTACTACTACTACTACTACTACTACTACTACTACTACTACTACTACTACTACTACTACTACTACTACTACTACTACTACTACTACTACTACTACTACTACTACTACTACTACTACTACTACTACTACTACTACTACTACTACTACTACTACTACTACTACTACTACTACTACTACTACTACTACTACTACTACTACTACTACTACTACTAACTACTACTACTACTACTACTACTACTACTACTACTACTACTACTACTACTACTACTACTACTACTACTACTACTACTACTACTACTACTACTACTACTACTACTACTACTACTACTACTACTACTACTACTACTACTACTACTACTACTACTTTATAATCAGTTTATTTGTGTCTTAGACTTTCAAAATGTTATAGTTTTATTAACTCAATACTAAACTGTATTCATTGAATTTATTCGGTATTAATATTATTAATATTGAAGTGAACGGTACAGTGTTCAAGTCTCGTAGTGAACATCACCTCTAGGACGCAAGTATATTCAACGGACAAGTTCTTAATAGGACGAAATATACGTCTTGGATTCCATTTCTAGGCGTCATTCATATTTTTTAGTATTCATTAAAATAAATAAAATAATTAGTTAACAATGATTATACTTTCAATATAAGTAATTCCATTTGAATTTGTTCATATCAAACGAAATAAACGTACTTCTAGTTTGTTCAATTGAATATTCAATGGATAATTTCTTGGATCTCAAATGTTCAACTGAATGTCAATAGAATTAGATGCGCTTAATAATATCGTTAACGATTATTATCAGAATGGGTTTTGTGGAGATTTTTTAGAAATTTCACTTGTTGAAATAATGATTCAATTGAAGGTAGATTGGTTGAAGTTAGACATTAACACCGTTGGATGCCAGCTCAGTGATCTGGTTGGTTAAGCGCCTGATGCGAGACTGATATGTCCTGGGTTCAAGTCCCACGGGGTGTGGGATCGTGAATGAGCACTGCTGAGGAGTCCCATACTAGGACGAAATGGCCGTCCAGTGCTCCCAGGTTTTCCATGGTGGTCTAGCTTCAATTAACTCATGATTTCAACAAGTTAATGATTATGTCGAGCTCTTGCTTATATCGAGTATAAATAAAGATAATATATATGATATGAATAATATTTTGATAATTAGTAAATATCAGTATGGGGATGTGGAGATTTAAATGACTCATGAAATCGCCAAAAAACTCGCCTTCTGATAATATAGTTTTCTTTTTTTAAATAGTTGAGATCATGAGTCAATTGAAACTAGACCATCATAGAAAACTTGAAAGAACTAGACGTCCGTCTCGTCCTATTGTGGGACTCTTCAACAGTGCGCATCCACGATCCACTAGTTCGAAATGGCTATCGAATGCTTCTAAAGTTTTCCATAACGATCTACTTTAAATTGACTCATAAATTTAGCAATTAAGTTAGTAGAATAGTTATACGTTTATGAATGATAAACTACATTCATCATTATAATATGGTATAAACAATATGAATATAGACAATAAGAAAGTACTTTTGAATAGTTAACTATAAACGAATAATAATAATAATAATACATACCATCTTGGATTGATAAATTAATTAACGAAAAAGTAATGAAACTGACAATAAACAGTAATCTACGATACATTGTTGTTGTTGTTGTCGAAACTATTTCCTTTCTCTTCTTATGATTATTCTGTATTTATAACCTTAGAAGATCATATCGATGTGTTGCTATGGCATCATTCTATGGTACCATTCCATGTGTCATTGATTGGTCAACTGCCAGAAGAAAAAAACAAAGAGACAAACATTTGAATACTTCATCACAAAACTGAGTAATATTCGTTCATACAAAAAACAAACAAACAAACAGTCTATTGTGGCCGGCGATCTAACTTCAATCTGATTATATAATCATGATAATGTAATAAGATTTTCCGCCTTTTGTCCTACATATTTATCGACTTTATTCATATTATTGAATAATAGAATAAAATATGAGTACAATTTTGCCATAGAAATATTTCATAAACTCATAACTGTAGACAGACAACAAAAGAAACTATGCGACGAAAATGTGGTTGCCAACTCGATTTGATAAGGTGACTAATTTGAGCAAAATAGAAAAATAAGCTAAACATATATGATGAATGGAATAAGTGATAAAAGTATATACACAAATGTATATGTTTATATAAAATTAGTCAAGTTAAGGTTGCTTACTCTCACTCTTTCTCTTTCTTCTGGTAATCGACTGAATCATGAAGAAGTCAACATCTGGTCGGAAGCATGAGATACAGTGAACAGATACGATACAGCTCGAAGATCTAGATTTCACAAATGATCTGATTCTTCTATCGAACACACAACAACAAATGAAGGAGAAGACGATCAGTGTGGCAGCAGCAACCTCAGCAGCAGTAGGACTCTACATACACAAAACGAAAAGCAAGATTCTCTGATACAATACATTATGCAGCAATCAAACAACGCTTGATGGAGAAGCTTCGGAACATGTAAAATCCTTCACATATCTGGGCAGCATGATTGACGAACACGGTGGATCTGATGCAGATGTGAATGCGTGGATTGGCAAAGCAAGAGTAGCATATCACCCATCGAAGTACATCTGGAAATCAAAACAATTGTCAACCATCACCAAAGTTAGAATTTTCAATACAAATGTCAAGACAGTTGTACTGTATGAGGAGGAAACCTGGAGAACTACGAAATCCATCATCTAGAAGATACAAGTGTTTGGTAACAGTTGTCTACACGAGATACTTCGGATTGGTTGGTCAGCCGCTATCCGCAACAACCTAGTGTGAGAGCGAACAAACCAGATTGCAGTTGAGGAAGAAGTGAGAAAGAAGAAGAAGAAGAAGCGTTGTAAGTGGATAGGACACACATTGAGGAACGCGACGAACTGCATTGCAAGGCAAGCTGTCACTTGGAATCCTGAAGGTCAAAGGAGAATAGGAAGATCAAATAACACATTATGCCGAGAAATAGAAACAGACATGGGAAGAATGAACAAAAATTGGATAGAACTGGAAAGGAAGGCGCAGGTGAGAGTGGGTTGGAGAATGCTGATAGGTGGCCAATCTGTAAGTAAGTCAATTTTCTTCTTCATTGAGTAGATCTTATAACGCTTGAAAACAATTGCTGAGAGTTATCTTAAATTCTTTGAGTTTGACAGTATTTTGAATGAAGGCTTTATTGAACTTTTGTAATGCTGTTTCCACAGTTGTCCGGTGCTTCTTTCATCTTGGCGACCACCAGTTGGTAGTGACCTGAAGCTACGTCAGCTCCTCTCTTGTTTCTCATGTCCTCCATTGACCTTCTGAATGTCTTAGTGATGCAAATATGATCAGTCTGGTTTTCTGTATTGTGATCTGGTGTGACTCATATAGCTTTATGCATGCGTTTGTGTGGAATTATTGTGCTGCCTATAATCATTTAACTGAATGCATATAAATTTGAAAATCTCTCGTCATTCTCATTCCTTTTACCTAGTCCAAGCCGTCCCATGATATCTTCATACCCGGTGTTGTCCATTCCGACTTTTGCGCTTAGGTCTCCTATCAGGGTGGTCAGGTCATCTAATGAGCACTTCACTACGATCAATTGCAGCCTCTCATAGAACTGATTTTTATCCTCGTCATTGTTATCATTGATAGGTGCATAACACGGGATAACATTTACTGTGATTCGCTCCTTCTTTGTTTTGAAAGATACTTTGATGATCCTGGATCCATGAGATTCCCACCCAATAAGTATATTTCTTGCTTGTTTGGACAGCATCAGAGCAACTCCCTGAATATGTGTACAACAATATCTTTCCCAAATCTAGCCTTTTCTGTCCAGCTTGAGTCTAATGAGTTTCACCGATTTCGAGCACCGTCAAGTAGTCTACTCGGTCTCCCAAATTGTCCGAACATTCCATGTACCTATAAAAAGTGTTGCTTTGGTTGTTAGACGGGGCATCGGCTTCGTGACTTCCAAAGGATCTCAGCTTACATTATGAGGCGTTATAGCTGCTATGAAAGAAGATCATTCAATTCAGAGGGCAGGGTTTAAATGATTTAATTTATTTATTTTGGTTGACGTATTTTTAGCAATGTTGTTTTCTAAGGGATGGTATTACTGACTACATGCCCAACCCTTCTCCATCACCAGGTCCTGGGACCGGCAGTAATCTTAGAAGAGCTTCAGGTGGAGTTTAGCCAGTTCATAATCATGATCATATGAATCATGTTTTAAATTGTCATTACGATTTACTTCTTTCATGTAGTCAATGAATTCGAAAGTTTCATGTGGAGAACGGATACGAATACGTATTCTTACAGAATCCCAGGGATCTGCCAGCCTCTATGTTATATAGTGGTAGGTAGATTCGGATATATCTTGAATTGGTTGAAGAGTTAATTCAGGTTGGTTCACTTTAAGCAAACTACACAGTCGTGGACTTGTTGATCCGGTTGGCCTAATGTGCTTGTAGATTTCTTGCATATTTTATTTAAAATAATTCAAGAGCATTATCTGGTTTGGGTGAACAGAGTCGGAAACCCCTCACCAAGAAGCTCTTTCATCAAACATAGGTCATCCGATCAGAACGCACTCATTACATAAAGTCATATAAAAGATTAGTAGAAAGCTTCTTAAAACAGATTTCATCTTTTCAGTTTTATCGAATCATTTACCATACATTTGGACAGACTGTAATTATGTACAAAATATACCTCTACAACCTCTTATTCTATCATAGTTATAATTTCTCGTGAAGTTTTGTCTCTTTTCTTTCTTTATTTTACAGCCATCTAGTTTACTTCTGTCTACTTCTCCATAGACCTTCTATTACAACTTAGTTTGTTTCAGTTTCTATGATCGTTCTGACTATAGTTCAACACAATATCAACATTGTATCTTATCAAACAGAGAAATTCCTTTTCAATTATAACACTTTATCTGTCGTTATGATAAATATTCAAGCATACTATTTGGTAGTAGTAAATACAAAGTAACCAACTTGGCCATCATTAGTGAAATGTTGGTACAATATTAGGTATTTTAATCTATAGTGTACAGTTAGTTATTGTTTTTAATTCTAAATAATCTTCATTCTGTATAACCTAATTTAAATTAATAGTAATGAGGTCATCAAAGTTCTTGACTGAATGTTGATAGTTTACTGTGTGGGCGAACATGATAATGAATAGTTGTTTGCTCAATCTGACTTGTAGAGATAGTCTAACAGTTATGCATTGTCTTACTGTGGTTGTTGTCCATTTTTGCTGTGGAAATATGCTTATGTTCTAGTCAGGCGAGTCACGTGTGTTTGATCTGAATTGTGTTAAATTCCTGTAGAATAAACACTGGAAAGGCATCTAGTGTAGGTATTCTTCTAAGTTAAATTAACGTCACATTCCAGTAGAGATAGAAAGCCATGCGTTATAACATCTACTTATAGAATTCTTTGTTGGTGTGTTGTTTTAATGACTTTCTATCTTAACATTTGTTATTGTGATACATTTCTGACAATTAATTTGAACTATTTATGGTATAGATTAGAACAATTTATCTGTTATTGTATTCATCACATTAAGAATTACAAGCAAAGATGGATGGTGGCTAGTGATGGAATTTAGGACGCGTACCACTTCGTCATAGTTGGGACTCGTCAACTGGATGTACCTGCATCTCAGAGTTCATAATCACAGGTACATCCATCTGCAACTCCTAAATAAGACGAAACGCGTTTCCTGAACTCCACTGCTAGCTACCATCCATCTTTGTTTATAATTCGTCTATTTCCCTTCTATTTTTAAATTGTCTAATTGTCTCAAATTAATGATTAACTATTTATAAAAAAAGTATAGATAAATTCATAGAAAATACTGTCAATATCTGGAAAATGCTAATGAATAACTAAATTAAACAATGGAGGATAACTCATTAGTAACGGCTCTGACACTGAGGCTGACCGACATGGGATCGAATCCGTCAGGTAGCATCACTTTTCTCAAGATTACAAGTACACCTTACTGACGAGTTCCAAGTAGCACGGAACCTAGGTCCATAGTTTCCTGTTGACTACCTCCAACCACCATCTTATCTCAACATAGTGCACGCAATGTCGAGTCACTTAGACTAATAGCTACATTACAACTCGGTCGATAGGATTCGATCTGCATTAGGAAGGACCTGACAAGTATGACATTCATCACCACCCAGTGATCAATCAATTGTAGATATAGTCTATATAAATTAATCTGTGAGCCCTGGTTAGTCATTAGATAGTTTCTATTGATTGTAATCTTTAGTTTTTTGCAATAAAAATTGATGTTGAAGAACAATTAAAAAGGACACAATATAAAAACACCCCACCATCAATGAAGTCAAGCATTGGTAAACACAACCATCAAAATAGTACATATCGATAAAGGTGAGCATTATAGGGGTGAACAAGATGAAACTATAATTTATGGAAGACCTTTAACTGACGTAAAAAACAATTTTCACAATCTAATTTACTACTTTTTATTATTAAACAACGAATACAGTTTTTGGTTGAATTTTGTTCTCTGAGCTCGATGGTTTGGTCGTGGTGCTTTCATCACTCTTCTGAACGATATCATCAGTACA